TGAGCAAAATCGGACTAGTGGTTCTCGAGTTATGTCAAAAAAAGACCCAGACGTGACCCAGCGAAACGCCGGGACACGTATACCTTCTTTTTTACCGATATAACTTTCCCCGGTAGTTTGAACCCTTCCCGATCACTGACCCCTACCATTTGTCTCACAGTGTTATTTGTTATTTCGCAAAGAAAAGTGCAGAAATTATCAAAATGCTGCATAACAGTTTATTCCAAATATAGGTTTCAACAAAAATGTTCCTAACTGTGAACCTGAGCACAAAACAAAAAAAAAAAATCAAAGCTATAATTGCAGCAGCGTAGACTTCTGAGATAAAAGAATAACTTTTTTTAATATTCGTTTTTCAGTATCAACCAAATTGTAACAAAATATTTCAATCAAATATAAAAAATGTTTTCTCGAATCGTTCGTCAAAAATAGTCAAAAAATATAATTCAAGCATTAACACTTTAAACAATTAAAAAAACTTCTATTTTGATAATTTTGTTTTAAAACATGACTTTCAAGCAAGAGCAATAATATCGTACTTGCACCAAGCATTAGATAAAAAATATTAAATACATTTGGGAATGAGTTTGAAGCCAAGCTATGTATAATCATTTTTTCCTACGGTCCTAGTTTGAAGCCAAGCTATGTGTAATCGTTTTTTCCTACGGTCCTACTTTAGTTTGATACCAATATATTTTTTTTTAATTTGTCTTTTTTTCAAACAGGTGGTAACCCTTTTCAAAAAACATATTCAACAAACAGCAAACTTTATCTAACCTCTTTAATTTAATACCCACATTGTTATTTTTAATTTTTCTTATCAATATAAATTAAAAGCAGGTGGCAACCCTTATTGAAAATATTTTCGGCTATAAGCCTCCATAGTTTGATATCCATATTGTAATATTTAATTTATATTATGAATTTAACTAAAACCAAATTTCAAAAGGGTGGCAACCCTAGTGTGATCCCCAAATTGTTGTATTTAATTTGCCTTATACATTTAATTAAACAAAATTTATCAAACAGTTGGCAACCCTACTCTAAAATATTTTCCGATGTGAGGTTTCTTAAACCTTTTTAGTTTGATCCCCACACTGTAGTACATATTTAATTTATATTATAAATTTATTTATTTTCGGCTGTAAGGCTTCTCTAACCTCTGTCTTTTGACAACCGTATTGCAATATTTCCCTTATCATATCAATATAAATAAATGAAATTCTTCCAGAGGTGGGAACCCCCTTAAAAATTTTTTCGTCTGTAAGCCTTCTTAAACCTCTTTCTTTTGACACCCATATTGCAACATTTATTTTATCGTATCAATTTACTTGAAGAAGAAGAAGAGACATTTTCTGTAATTTTTTTTGCGCACAATCCGGGTATCTTAGCGAAAATTATTCAAATCGGTCAAAGCACTATTTTAACAGCTTATACTCAAATCTCCTAAAAAATGGAAAGCTTTAAAAGAAATGTAATTGTTGCGCCTAAATGCAAATCTAATCGGGCACACAAAAAAGTTCAAAATTGGCACATTTTCGTCGTTCAAAATATTCTTTCTCTTCTTGTTTGGTGCTGTAAACGCCTAAACGATTTTGGCCATTCAAAGTATTAGCGTAGGCAAATAGGGAACTACGTATGTACATATGTATGTACGCATGTGCATATACAGAAACATATTCATCAAGCATACATACACACATACATATATGTATACCTACACATGCCACACAGATCGCGCATACATATATAAGTATATACATACTCGTATGCATGCCCAGTAATGTGTGTAAAAAGTGCAGTCCTTGCGATTCGCTGCACACGACGCAATCTCGTCAGCGCGAAACCGACAAATCCATAGCGACATTGATGCGTTTTTACGCCAAGTTCCATTTCTTTTAGTACTGCATTTCAATTTTTCAAGTTTCGCGTATTTTGGCGAGCAGCCGGCTGTAGAAAGTGTGAATACGCCGGGGGCGAGAGGGAGTTGCACTGACTTTTGCGACTTTTTTTTTTTGCAATACTTTTTTATCAACCAGCATTGCCTAGTTGCAGTTTTTCACATTGGCCCGTCTCTCTTGCTTGCCATTGTTCACTCCCCTTACAATCCATTTATCTATATTTCGACTCTTCTATCCTTTCATCATATTTTTGCCTGTCGGTTGCATTTTCGGTTTGTGTCTTTCAGCGCATTGCCATTCACTAAATGAAAATGTGCATTCGCATCGCATAATTTCCGCTTCGTTTGATTTCATTTCACTTTTTTCTCACGTGTTTTTTTTTCTTTTAGTTCTTTTTAAAATTTCTTTTGGCACGCAGCTGGCAATGCGAATTGTTTGGCGTGCTTTGGTGCTTAGATCTACACTTTTTGGGTAGTTTTTTTTCGCTTTGCATATTTTTAGGGGAACATGATAATTTCTAATTTATAGGCAAGTTTTCGAAATGAATTTGGGGAGAGGGTGTGGGAGTGTAAAGTCAATTACTTATTAGAGGAAAATGTAATGGAAAATGGGACTGTCGGAACTATTAACTTAGTTGACGGGGGAGTGTAAATAAATGCACATAAAAACGAAGTATCTTTCGTGTCTAGACTGCCTGGTTAAATATTTAAAAGTTCGAAGAAGTGAATTCAAATGAATTTTTTGATTATAAAATTCCTAAATCGGTCTGAAGCTGATAAATTTGAAGACATATATTTTACAATGAAATTAGCAAGGACTCCAACTTCTGACAAGCAAAAAATATCCCAAAAAATTATTTAAAAAAAATATCAAGTTTTTTCTAGTAAATAAACAGCAAACGTTGTTTCAACTTTTATTACAGATCATGCAAAAATTTCTAAGTAAAACACTGCCTTAACGAAAGGGAATTTGTGTTATAAATGAATCTTTTCAATAAGATAAAATTTAAATTTTAGGTGGTATTGCTAATTGAATTAGAAAAAGTAAAATTAAAAAAATTAATTTTTTTTTTATAACAAACATATGTATTGTAGTTGGGGCTATCACGGATCACTGATGGTGACGCAGGCCAGCAGACTCTGTCTCACCGTAGAGGAAATTGGCGGAGCCTGGTAGCCATGATTTTGAGACCTTCATATGGATGACGAAATGGTTTCACTTCCAGGAGAAAGTGGAATATAATTAGCCTATACTACGGTATCACAATAGCCCCTTGATGATTTAAGTGGGCTTCCTACCAAGCCAAACTAACCCAACCCAACCAAAAGATTTATAAAATTTTTTGACCAGGTCATAAAAGTTAGTTCTCATTCTCGTATTTGATATATGTACATACAAGTTTTGATAAACCACTATGTGTATATATGTAATAATTTCAAAAAAATAAGTAAAAACTATGGTTTTTCTTTTCATAAAGTAAGTCCTAAAGCATTTTTTTTTAATATTTCGAATTATTTTCGTTTTTTTTTCAGAGCAAAGGAGAACGCAGGATGGAGCCTTTTAGCTGACATGAGAGAACCGTTGAATTACCGAGCGATTCTGAATACCTGAGATGATTCTACACTGCGCTGAGGTAAAACATTATATTGTTTATCAGAGCCATAGTGGAATTATACCAGTTGAAGTAATAAGAGCGAGAAGAAAGAGTTTACATTGATTTTACATCTCCTTACGTATTTGAAAATTTGCCTTTAAAAATTTGTATAAGGCAGCCGAATTTCAGAAAAGGCGAGGAAGCTGTTTTACTAGTTCATCTATTTATTGTGCCGTGATCAACTGATAGTCAAATTTTTCGATATTTCTTTTTATAGTTTTTGATAACGATGGAAAATTCTTTGGATTTTAAAGAAGAAAAACCAAAATATTATGATTTTATTTTAATGAAAACTTTGTACATTTTTTGTCAAAAGTGCTCGTCTTGTTAAAACATAATTTTTATAAAAAAAAACTTTAATTTTCCAGCCAATTCCTAATTCGCTGCAGCTGAAGAGAAAGGCGTATGGAGGTCAGCAGCGAATTTCACAAAAAAAAAAAAATGACTCTAGTCAATTATGTAAGTATACGTACGTTATTTTAATGAAAACTTTGTACATTTTATGTCAAAAGTGCTCGTCTTGTTAAAACATAATTTTTATAAAAAAAAACTTTAATTTTCCAGCCAATTCCTAATTCGCAGCAGCTGAAGAGAAAGGCGTATAAATGGAGGTCAGCAGCGAATTTCACAAAAAAAAAAAAATGACTCTAGTCGATTATGTAAGTATACGTACGTATTTCACTTTCTGGCATAGCTGGTGGCTTCACAAAGCTAGGCATGTGCACATATTTTCGCATATTTATTTAACTCAAACCATTTATATTGGCTGACCAATACTCAATTCGCAATTTCCTCTGAGGTCACGTATACGCAATGTAGTACACACATACGCACCGGAGAATACGAATGAACGCTGCTATGCGAATATTGAAAATTGTCTGCGTGCGTTTGCGAAGCGTAAAAGTTTTGTGCATTTCGATATTTTTCACACTTCTTTTCACAGAAAACCCACTCTATTCTACACTCTCACTACTCGACCGCCTGTAGCTCAGAGTAGCACACAGTATGTACATATGTACATAAATAGCTCAGTTTGTGTGACCAATGCCAAGTGTAGTAGATATGTAGGAAATTGCTTGGGCGTCGAAATAAATATAAAATGAAATGACAACCTAAAGTACTTGCCTACGTAATACTTTTCTGTGACTTTAACGAATTTGTTAGATTTGCAAAAATTGCAAAAATTGAATTGATATCATCAGCAGGCTAAGCAATGAGTTCTCGGAGCGGGGGAAGAAGTGAGTAAGCGTGAGTTTTGAAGTCGTAGTAGTAGCAGCTTAAGCGTCTGAAAATTGACAAAAGTTCGACAAAGCTAAAAGTGTTTGGTGAAAGTGAATAGCGCGCAGGCAAGTATTTGTATGTGTATTTAGTTCTACACACATATGTACTTGTCTGTGCGTGTATTTTTGGGTTCTTAGCGTTGACTGGGGCAGGGCCACTTCGTTATCTAAATCGCATTGCACAAACTTTTAACGAAATTGAGAAATTTGTTGTTAGCCAAGAATTTGCCAGCGTACATGGATATGCTAAATATATATATGTACATATGTATGTGTTTATATATGTATGTATGTATAATATACAAATTCATAGCTAGCGCATATACATACATAAAGTACTAAATTGCAAAATTACCATACGTACATTAGGCTAAAGTTAAAAGTGATTTTTGAGACAATTTTTTGTTGTAGGTGTTACCAAATTTTCCATTCAAAGTAATATTTGAAGAAACTGCGTGAAAAAAATTGCCAAAAATCAACGATAGGTCCTAGCTACTTAAAACTTGCACCTAATTACACTAAAATTTATTGGACAACAAAAATGCATACTCAAAAAATTCTAAAAATATTATAAAAAAGTTAAAATTTTCCACGAAACTCTATTGAATTTTCTTGAGTGTGCAGAGCACTGGTGTGCTATTAGAGAGATCTAAGTTCGGGTCCTGGTGCACAGGATTTTTTTTTGTTTTTTTTCAATAAAATGTTTTTCTTTTTTAATTTAACCTTTAGATTTTATTGTTTTTAAAAGAAAATACACATTTTTTAATTTCATTTAACTTTTGACACATTTTATGTATGTTTGTCTTTTTTAGTTAAATTTTTATTTTTAATGTAATTCTTTAAAAAGATTTAATTTCATTAAATTTTAGGAATTTACTTTATTTTGTGCTTTTCTGCATAATTGATTTTTATTTTTTTTTTAGATAAATTTTCTGTACACATGGATGTTATTGTTTATAAAAGAAAAACATACTTGAAATTTCATTTAATTTTTATAACCTATTTTATTTATTTTTCTTTTTTTAATGTAATTTATTTTTCATTTGTTAATTTCATTTGCTTTTAATTTTTAGATTTTATTGTTTTAAAAAGTGAAATATACATATATAAATATATGATTTAATTTTTAAGATCGTATTTTATATTTTTGTTTTTAAGCTGTTGTTTAATTTTCTTTTAATTTTTAGATTTTGTTGTAAAATTAAAAATATTTTTTTTATATAATTTTAAAATTTTTTTGTAGAACTATTTTCTCCCTCTCAGATTTAAGAAAAAAAAATATTTTTATAATTGCATTTACTATTTAAATATATTTTTATCTTATTTTTTGAATTTAATTTTACTTTTGTGTTTCGAAAACTGTGGTGAGTTGAAAGAGAGTTGCCAGAATCAGGGTACTTGTTGTCGACTATTGCACAATCTTAAGAAATTACAACATAGTGGCA